CTTCCCTCTGGTAGGTAAGGGGTTGTTTTGGCCTACTCTCTCCCCCCTCTTCTCTAAATCGCACCCTTTCCTTTGGGGGAACTGTTCCATGGGGTTTCAAATCACTGTGCTCATACTAGGGTGGGCACACTATGTGGGCCAGCCAATTCTGGCATCCTCTCTCTCTGGCCACAGAACTCAGGTAGGTAGTGGGTATGAGACCCACACGGAAGCAACTGGAGTTATCGTTGTGAGCAGTAATTGGGTATTGTGAGAGGTTTCCTCTCCCCTTGGTGTAACACAAGCAGTGGAGATGTAGGCTTTGGGCTGCCAGGGGCCATTTTCCCCAGCACGTAAAGACAACCTGCCTCAGAAGAAGCCAATACACAGTGCTCAATAAGCTTATCCATTTATCATAACCACATTCCTTGTTTGTGGGAAATGCCAGGTGTCTGCACACTAATAGGAGGGGGAAGCACAAAATCAGAAAGCAGAATGCGTTTTTTGTTGTAGCAGCAGTTACTTTGGGAACAATGTGGTTTTGTGGAAGAATGTGCTCATTAGGCTGAGATCTGGATTTGAATCCAGCAGTCGACTGCTTACCAGATGCACCAGGCAACTGGAATGAATAGCTTAGCTCCCTGGGCTGATGTGAGGACTTAGAGAGGAAGCGAAGTACCCAGCTCAAGGAAAGGTGAGGTCCCTTTAGGGTGTCCAAGCAGCACCTCCCAGGAGAGAACTCTTTGTGGACTTGGTTTCTGCCTGTTAAAACTGACTTGTTTTCTCCCGAAGACTCCTTCAGGCAAAAAAGGGGTCAGGAAAGTCATCTTACTTGGAGATATAGCCAGAGGGAAAGGAAGTTATTTTAGGTCACATTTAGGAGATGGTTGCTTTCCTTCTTTACTACAGAAGTCTGGTTTTTTTGTTTTTTGTTTTTCAGAAGTCTGTTTTGATATTCAATTCCACCACACACATTCTAGTCCTCCTAGAGTGGGGAGTTCCTTTACTGGACAAAGTGCAAGATGAAATGATTTCTCATCATTAACCAAATCATACTTATTGGCCAGCCTTAATGGTTCCCTTGAATTATATATTATACTCACTGCCCTTTTACTTATCAGAAAAAAAAAGGTCTGGAACTTTTCTCTTACCGAATTTGAATCCATTCCGTTCCTATGATAGGCTCCCTACTGGTTCATTTTACATCGCCTATCTGGAAACACACATCTGTTTGGACATGAAGTCTTCCTACTGCACTGCATGAAGCCCTTTACAAATATCTACTGAAGTAAAGAAACCAAGTTAGTAACAATGCTAAAATGCTACTCTCTAGAGCTGGGAAGTATAAATGCCTTTAAAGGTATACAAGAGATAATGGCAGATGTTTGAGACACAAATTTCATTAGGATTTACTTCACACAGACTAAAAATCCAACAAACTCTTGTATTTTTTTGAAATAGAAACTAGGTTTTCTCTATTTCACAAGGCTTCTGAAGCCATCCCCCCTCCAACCCCATGTTTGCACAGTGTGAACCCACTGATACACAAGAGGTGGTTTTAGAAAGGTTATGGACTTGGAAATTATAAGGCACAGCAATAAAAGCAGGAAGGTCTACCTGATGAACAATAGCCTTTTAGGTCTGTGGAATGTCAGCCAAAAATTGAATTCAAATTCAACAGGGAGTACACCTCCATTAAAATAAAGACCTCAGACATTACTGAGTAATGATGTTTGTACAAAGTCATTCTAGGTGTTTTAGACTAACAACATTAATACTGTTTGCTAAATAAGTCAGATCTCTAGAAACATGAATCCAGAATGCAAAAAACATGTACCACAGTTATACCAAAGTCTATTTCTATGGCGCCTGGGTGGCTCAGTTGGTTGGGCTCAGGTTATGATCTCAGGGTTGCGGGATCAACTTAGGCCCCATGTGGGGCTCCCACTCAGCAGGGGAGTCTGCTGGAGATTCTTTCTCTCTCTCCCTCTGCCCCTCCCCCCATGCTCGCTCGCTCTCAAATAAATCTTTTAAAAAAAGGTCTATTTTCTCTTGCTGGATTTTATTAGCTTTTTCAAGATCTACACCAACCACCTTAAAACCCACACATCCCATTCCTCCCTGAGCGGGTAAAAAAGCAAACAGCTGGAAATGAAAGAATGGTACAATTTGACTCCCATGAGGCTTAGATGCATACTGTGCAGCCTGGGCCTTGGGGACTGGTACAGTGACAAAGCACCGATGCTACGGAAATGTAGATGAAACAAGCAGTGTACCAGAAAGAGTGGAAATATAAAGCTACTGTTGACTGCTTTTTCTTTGTAATCTAGTTTGACTGAAAGATTTGGCATATTTATCCATTAAGACCATAAAGTTAAGATTTTCTGTACATAAACAATCCCTCTTATTGACTGCACAATTTGAGATGCTACCTGGGACATCCTCAGCATTTGATGAACACCCACCGATCTGTCAGGGGTTCTATTTGGGAATGCTGCCACCACAGCAGTGGAATAACAAAATAAAGAGGGGCGCATGCACCCTGATGCATGTATGCATACACAAACACGTGGACGCTACTTGCTGAATCTTCACAACAGTTCCCAACGAAGTCTCCACCACAGCAGAAGGGTCAACAGTTGGCTTTGCAGTCACTTTTAGGTGAACCCAAATCTGGCTCAGGAGACAAACGGTTATCAGAGAAGTGTTAACCAGTCACCATCCCTTTTACCTTTTAGGCAGGAGTTAATCAGGGTACATCTGGTTGCCAGGAACTCTACTGTCCTCCAGGATACATGGGAGTTTTCTGAATCCAAAGGAATATATAGGCTCATCGGGCTCTCAATAGTCAAGTATAGAGCAGTTGTTCCCAACTTTTTCCTGCTGCCACACTATCCAAATGCACAACGACTTCCATCAGCTATGTATCCCATTACATATAAAGATTTTCAAATGGGGCCTAAGAATACATCCATCCCACCCAGCACAAACGGTCATATGAAAAATGGAGAAGAGCAGATGCAATATAAAAAATCACCTCCCAGAGATCTGATACATCTCCTGGCTGACACCCAGCCCCACCTACCAGGTTCCCTCACACCCCTTTCCTTGTTTAAAATTAAGTAGGTTAAAGAAATAAAATGCACCCAATGTAAGGGCAAAACTGAACAAATTTGGGATGCAGAAGAATGACTCGTCACTATGCATGAAGTAATGGCAAGGATACAGCTGTGACTTTCCCAGACTAAACAGATCCACCGCATCTTTATGTAGTAACTTTATACAGAGGTGCCTGAATTGTGCGGGTATACAATGCAATGTCTTTGGAGGTGAAAACGTTAAAAACAGGCTCATTTACAAAATTAAGTTGGAATTTTTTTCTCTGATTTTATAAAAAAAAACTTTTTGAAAGTTGTTCTGCTTTTCTTCAAGAAAACAAACTATGCTCTTTCCATAATCTCTTGTTATCTTCATACTTCAGAGACAACACAGTATTTTGGGTTCAGCTCCTCTTACCACCATCCATTTATGTGGAACTTTTCCAAGGTTATAAGTCTTGTGGAAAAATGTCTGCACAGTAGGGGAAAAAATATCACAATGCTGTACTGAAAAAGGAGGATAACGGCTGCTCAGATGTCAGTGACACATTGTTTTTTTTACACTCATACTCGTAAAATCTTTGGGGTTGGCCAGGGCTCTACTGCTACCTACTCTTGTTTCTCCTCTTTTGGGAATTTGTTTTTTCATAAAATGCTGCCAACTATGCCACTATCATATCAGGGTAAACATAAAACAGACCCCAACTATAAGGACAACAGATGAAAAAAATTGCTAGAGGCCAGCCTGCTGTTCCGATGGGGTCTTGGGCTGACCCCACAGTTGAGAGTCAGATCCCGAAGGTCAAGCACTCACTTGCCACTCACTTCAGTGAGTCACAGAACTAAGGCGACTACACTCCAAGGCGACTGAAGGCAGGGCGCTGAGAGATCACCCCAGTCCTGAGGTTCCAATGTTCACACATGCTATCAAGGTCCTCCTTTTTTTGGTTATAAAACTATTCTGAGCTAAACACCGAGGGATTAATTTTTAAAAGAGGGGTTTTATTTGGCAAGTAGGGAATCCCAGCAAAAGAAAATGAGAGGTTCTGGGAACCTACTTCACTCAGGATGTACAAAGCCTGACGAACTACTCTTACTACTCTTACTGGAACTACTCTAACTCCTTGAAACAGCAACTCCACAGTAGTTACAATGTGTATTTTCTCAGTTTCCAACCTACTTATGTGAAATTACATAATGTAACAATGAAGAATTTTTAGTATCTAATTCTCAAGATTCTATGGGGACCGTTATCTTTTGTTTACCACTGTTTGTTCTTCTTTTTTTTTTTTTTAAGATTTTACTTATTCGACAGAGAGAGACACAGCGAGAAAGGGAACACAAGCCGGGGGAGTGGGAGAAGGAGAAGCAGGCTTCCCTCAGAGCAGGGAGCCCAACGTGGGGCTTGATCCCAGGACTCTGGGATCATAACCTGAGCCGAAGGCAGACGCTTACCGACTGAGCCACCCAGGCGCCCCACCACACTGTTTGTTCTTAAGATAAATTATAATAAAATCACTTAACAGAAAAACTGGCTGAAAAATGTCTGCCTTAGAGTTAGAAATTAAAGTTTTCCTTCTAAATTTAAACCTCAGAGCTCTCAGTGACTTTTAAAAAGTGGATGAACAAATTTCTAAATATAAACTGGAGATAATTCAATCTTAAAACTGAAACAGAATATTGAAAACATTTATTAATACAAATAAGTCAATGCATTCCACAGAATGAAAATGCTCAGTCTTTTCCAACAGATATTTAAAGCTAGTGATCCCACTCTTCATTAATCTTTCCTAAAATCTATGTAGCAACCTCTAGATTTAGTTATTTGTTCAGGACCTGAGTGAAGCCAAAGACACAAAAAATAGGGATTAAACCAAACTCTGAGCAGCTGTTTAAAAAAAAAAAGACTATATACACATAAAATAGGATTACACACTTTAATGTGATTGACACAGAGGAAGTAGGGAGGACACGAAAGAAACTTAGTTTTAGCTCCGCTTTATGCATAACCAGATGCTCTTTTTCCAAAAAGTATACTGAGGTTTTAAAAACCACATTTTATCAGAATACTTCAGGAAAACACACTATGTGTAATCCAGGAAATACACTATTTGCAGAATAGGAAAATCATCATGGGCAATAAAAGATTAAAACAAAAGAAAGCACCTGGGTTTTGAGCAGTTCTAAGGTGAGTATATCTGCAGAAATAGTGTAAATGCTCTTGACTGGCTATTAATGGAAACATGCTAATGAGGATTGGTCCATATCTTAACATTTTTAAAAATATGTTTCTTTGGAAAAATGGCAATATGGGCTGGGAGTAAAGATGTCCTTTTAGACACCCAGCTTATTGGCCTGGGTGAGAACGACTTTGAGAACTGGCATGAAAGCTGAGGTCTCACTGAAGTTGCTGGTGCTAACTATGTGGGTGTGGATGGTCAATCCTTCTGAGTAGTTTCGCGATTCAATGCTCCTTGCAATGTTGTGTAAACCACTGATGATTGTGGGTGAAAGCTGAAATAAAGGTAGAATCAAGAGAAAAAAATTAAATTAAGGAAGAATTTCCCATAAACCCTGATATTTAAAAGGAGACTGAAACAAATATTATAAAAAAGCAAATAAACCATTTAGCTTTTCTAAAAATAGTCTTTTGGACCAAGCAACTCTTTAAGTTATAAAGGAGAACCACGACAAGATGATTAATGTAAGGAGATTATTATGAATTATGAACATGTATGAGTCAGTTAATTTTTTTATAGAAGCCAGCTTTCCTCCCCCAAGTTGAAATGCTAACGTCTTTCTCCACTTAAGAGCGTTAATTCTTCAAATATTTTAGATATAGCCTCACACCTTTTAAAACTCTTCCCATGCACATGAAGGAATTTAAAGGTTCTTAATCATTTTATCTCAACGTAAGGACCCAATGTACTCTAAAACCATGTCTACAGTAGAGACCCTAAACTTGCGGTCCACTTGTGTTCATAGGGCAGCAGCTACCATGTACTCAATTTATCAATTCTTCACTGCTTTTTGTAATCTTACCATCTCTTAAAACCGTAACATCTCGTTTTTATCCCATGTCATTACTTGGATTATATGCCTATACTTCTGAGGGAAGAATTTATTTTGGATCAGTCCATGGACCACACCACTTCCACTGTTACATCAAATTTCTTTGGTTCTCATGACATGAGTGGTTATTTTTATCTGATGGGATTGATGTGAGGAATGGAGAAGAGGAATGTTAAAATGCAGAATATATAGCCACATATAAAACGAACAGAAGGCCAGTTACCTTAGGGCCAATACAAAGCAGATTATATTTCTACTCTTTGTTATAAGAAAAGTTAAAATTGCAACCCTATCTCACAAACACACACCCTCTCTCCTATTCCCTCATCCCCAAATTTAAATGACATATAAAATTCAGTTAGAGAAAGCCCATTCTATCACTGTCATCACAATTTTGCCCCCAAATATATTACATGCTAGTGCTGATGAGATGTTTACTAGAAACTAGGAATAAATGATTATTATGAATCCTTTTTCCCCACAAACTTACTGTCTGTTCCCTAAGTTTATCATACAGAAACTCCAAGCGTTTGCTGGCGTCATCTAGCTTCCTCTTGGTTTGCTGTAGGAGAAGAAAAACAGATGTGTTACATTTGGATACTTAACTTTTATCCAAAGACCTTGCCCTATCTCATTTCACTAACCCTTACACTCCTGATGCTGAACAGCTTCATTTTATAAAGAAATGGAGGCAACTATGACTCAGAAACTTGAACAGACCATTAGGACAGAGTTCAGTAACCTATTAATGGGGAAGGGTAGGAGGATAAGGGGCTTCCTTCTGGAGTGCAAACTGGAGTAGTGGTTGGATTTCACATGAACTGTCAGCTCATTTGACAAGGTGTGTGCATGTATAACTGCACTATCCACAAGCAACAGGAAGGGCCATCTGGAGGCAGCAGTGGGTCACTGTATTACAGAAAAGAGGATCTAAGGACAGCTATTTACAACAGCAGCAAACACAGAAGTGAACTGGAATCTTACTGTAACCTTTCAAAAATATTACTTATATACTCAGTCACATTAATATGTTTAATCCTGCTTCTGAGCTTTCTTTTTTTAAGTAGGATCCATGCCCAGCTGTGGAGTCCAGCGTGGGGCTTGAACTCATGACCCCCGAGATCAAGACCTGAGCTGAGATCAAAAGTTGGATGCTTAACTGATGGAGCAACCCAGGTGCCCCTTTTTCTGAGCTTTTAAAACACCAAGAAGGAAAAAAAAGAAAATTACCTTCTGGTGGCTTAAGATTACTAAAAGGGAAGTAGTAAAATGAGTTCTTAAATCAAGGAGTCCTCCCACCTCCCAATCCTCGTTCTAGAAATATAGTGAGAGAAAACTATTCTAAAACTAAAATTAAAGGTTTCAATTACAATGTAATTAAGCTAATAATGTACATTATGCAACAGCTTTAGAAGTGACACTGTTTTTCAGTATTTTTTGAGTGCCTACTATGTGCCATGCTCATGTCTCAGAGACCTCAAATTCTACTGGGTGGGAAAAAGATACTAAATAAACAGTATGTTGTAGATGAGATGGTGATGAATGCCATGAGGAAAGAGTTAACAGAGTGAGGGGCTAGAAGTTTAGGAGTATGAGGTGGTAAAGAAAGGCTGGGTAGCTACTGGGACATTTGAGAAGCCTGGAAAAAGGGTGGAGTGAGTAATGCAGTTATGTGGGGGAAGATTCCAGGCAGAAGGAGCAGCAAGTACAAAGCTGTTGATGCTGACATGCTCTTGGTATGTTGGAGGAAGGAATGTCAATCTATCAAAAGAGAAAGGAAAAGCTCTGAATATTTCCCCACGGAGATGATGTGAGCTGTGGGTTTTTCATATACGGCTTTTATTATGTTGAAGTATGTTCCCTCTACACCTACTTTGTTGAGGGTTTTTATCAGGAATGGACTTTGTACTTTGTCAAATGCTTTTTCTGCATCTATTGAAATGACCATGTAGGTTTTTATCCTTTCTCTGCCGGATGTGATGCATCACTTTGATTGGTCTGTGAATATTCACAAATTTGTGTGTCATCCTTGTGCAGGGACCATGCTAATCTTCTCTCTATTGGTCCAATTTTAGTATATGTGCTGCTGAAGTAAGCAATGATTGATCTATGAATACTGAACCAGCCTTGCATCCCGGGAATAAATCCCACTTGACTGTGGTGAATAATTTTTTTGTTTGTTGGTGAATGATTTTTTGTTTTTTTTTTTTAAAGATTTTATTTATTTATTTGACAAAGAGAGAGAGAGACAGAGAGAGAGGGAACACAAGCAGGGGGAGTGGGAGAGGGAGAAGCAGGCTTCCCGCCGAGCAGAGAGCCCAATGCGGGGCTCGATCCCCAGACCCTGGGATCAGGACCTGAGCCAAAGGCAGATGCTTAACGACTGAGCCATCCAGGCGCCCCAGTGAATGATTTTCTTTTAAAGATTTATTTATTTGAGAGAGAGAGAGAGAGAGAGCGCAAGAGCACGTGAGTGGGGGGAGGGGCAGACAGAAAGGGAGAGAGAATCTCAAGCAGACTCTGCACTGAGCACAGAGCGTGATGTGGGACTTGATCTCATGACCCCAAGATCATGACCTGAGATGAAACCAAGAGTCAGAAGCTCAACTGACTGAGCTACCCAGGTGCTCCTGTGAATGATTTTTTTAATGTATCAACATACCAATAGCATTTTTCATAGAACTAGAACAAATAATCCTATAATTTGTATGGAACCATAAAAGACCCCAAATAGCCAGAGCAATCTTGAAAAAGAACAGCAAAGCTGAAGGTGTCACAATTCTGTACTTCAAGTTATATTACAAAGCTGTAGTAATCAAGACAGTATGATACTGGCACAAAAACAGACACATAGATCAATGAAACAGAATAGAAAATCCAGAAATAAACTCACAATTATATGGTCAAATAATCTTCGACAAAGGAGGCAAGAATACCCAATGGGAAAAAGACAGTCTTTTTAACAAATGGTGTTAGGAAAACTGGACAGCTACATGCAAAAGAATGAAACTGGACCACTTTCTCACACTATACACAAAAATAAACTCAAAATGGATTAAAGACCTAAATATAAGACAGGAAACCATAAAAATCCTAGAAGAAAACACAGGCAGTAATTTCTCTGACATCAGCCATAGCGACATTTTTCTAGATATGTCTCCTCAAAGGAAATAAAAAGCAAAAATAAACTACTGGGACTACATCAGAATAAAAAGCTTCTGCACAGCAAAGGAAACAATAAACAAAACTGAAAGGCAATGTACTGAATGGGAGAAGATATGTGCAAATGACATATCCAGTAAAGGGTTAGTATCTAAAATATATAAAGAACTGATATAACTCAACACCCCCCCAAAAAATAGTCCAATTAAAAAATGGGCAGAAGACATGAATGACATTTCTCCAAAGAAGACATACATGTGGTCAGTAGACAAATGAAAAGATGCTCAATATCACTCATCATCAGGGAAATACAAGTCAAAACTACAATGAAATATCATCTCACACCTGTCAGAATGGTTAAAATCAACAACACAAGAAACAACACAGTGTTGGTGATGATGTACAGAAAGGGGAACCCTCTTGCACTATTAGTAGGAATGCAAACTGGTGTAGCCACTCTGGAAAACAGTATAGAGGTTCCTCAAAAAGTTAAAAATAGAACTACCCTATGATCCAGCAAGCGTACTACTATTTACCCCCAAAATACAAAAACACTAATTCAAAGGGATACATATACCCCTATGTTTATTGCAGCATTATTTACAATAGCCAAACTATGGAAGCAACCCAGTGTCCACTGATAGATGAATAGATAAAGAAGATGTGGTATATATACACAACAGAATATCATTCAGTCATAAAAAGAATGAAATCTTGCCATTTGCAACAACATGGATGGAGCTAGAGAGTATAATGCTAAATACGTAAGTCATTCAGAGAAAGACAAATATATGATTTCACTCACATTTGGAATTTAAGAAACAGAATAAACTACCAAAGGAAAAAAAAAGAGAGAGAGACAAACTAAGGAACAGACTCTAAACTACAGAGAAGAATATGATGGTACCCAGAAGGCAGGTGGGTGGAAGGATGGGTGAAATAGGTGATGGGAATTAATGAGTGCGCTTATCATGATGAGCACTCAGTACTGTACAAAATTGTTGAAGCACTGTATTATATACCTGTAATGAATTAAAAAAAAAAAAAAAAAGAAGAGAGAGAAAGAGATGAAGATATCAAGCATAACATTACAAACTAAGTCATGCTGCAAAATTACCTTGTGTTGTCTGGACATAACTTAAGTGAAAATACGTATTACAGCAATATTGTAAAAATGATTCCAGCTATTGATGAAAAGGATTTGTGTGGAAGAGAACCCTGATAGTCCCTGCTCAAAGTTAATCTCATCTAGCTACCGGCAGGAGCGCTACCCCAGGGGCAGAGTCAGTTGGGCAGGATTGGATATTAGGACTTTCCCCCCTAACTGGTTACAGGAATTACAGGAACAGTTTGTCTTTTGTGGTTCTCTTCTGCCCCAGGGCTCCTGTGGACCCAGAAGGAAGATGATATGTTGACCTAGAGGAGTTTAAACTCAACAAAAATTTATTGAGCTGGGCTGTGTACTACGTGTCTTCTCAACCTCTCTATACTGACTCATGCCTGAAGGAGAGCTGGAGTTTTCCTTCATTTTTATTAGGACTCTTCTATTTTTGAATGACTGTGTCCTATTTAGAGGTGTTCACAGGGGACAGTGTATGCTAGGCTATCTGCTTCATCTGCTCTCTGTTCCTCACTCAGTGTTTCCATCACTTCCAGAATGCTAGGCATGATGCTAACCTTTCCCTGCCTCTGCTTTCCTGACACATTTAGTACAGGGAATAGCCTTCTAAAGGACCAGAAGAAAGCTGCACATATTAATACTCAATGTTTGATGAAACAACAAATTCCAGAAGCTGTTTTTCAAGCATACAAGTGGCCAGTGGCTAAATAAACATATTCAATGTTTACTGGCAGAAACTGAGATTTCATCTAAAACAAGACCAGACCAGCCTTGTTGGATTTTTGTTGTTGCCAATACACAGGCATCCTCTAAATAAACTAAGTAAAATCAGTTGCTTTAACTATGAATAGGACTCTAGACTCTAAAACAATTATTTTTAAGATCTTTGCAAAGTTACATATAAGATTATCTACTTTTAAAAGTTTTGATCTAAGCTCAGAAAGAAAGCCCAAACCTGAACTTCTTACATACCACCATTCTGTTCTATTTATGGGCCAAACCCGAGGTTTGCTACTGAGGGGCAGTGCAGCATAGTGCGTGAGAGCATACATTCTGGACCTAAGCTGGGTCTGAATTCTGGCTCTGACCTTGGGTGTTACTTAACAGCTTTTTGCTTACTTTAGTTGTCTGTAAAATAAAGATGACAAATTTACCTACCATGGGGTTGCTGTGAGGATTAAATATTTACATATAAAAGAAATTAAATACATTTTTATATGTAAAGCAAACTATATAAGTGCTAGTTTTATTACTATTGTACAAACTTCTAAAGTATATCTTGTAACACTTCATGCAATTACACAAGAGCTCCATAAGTGATTATTTTAAATAAGCAAAATATGAGAAAAAAATACATACAGGATCTGTGGCTGAAGAGAGGCAGCGCTGAATAAGATCCTCAAATGTGGTCTTTAGAATGAGGTGCTCATCTGGAATAGGTTTCTTGGTAATTTTTTCTGTTGGCAAAGACTGCACATGCTGGAAGAAATAATACCATAAAATGACCAGAAACGACCAGAAACTATACACAAAGCCCTGAAACTCTGTGATAAAGAGAAACCAACTAACTACCTTGTAGATAGGCTGTTAAAATCAAATGACAAATTAACATGTGAAATCCCTTGGGGATAAATAAAAATGAAAATCAGATATTCAGTAGAAGGTACAGGCTTCTACATCTTTGATTTTCAAAAACAGAACTGGATATAAAGAATTTGGTCAATTATGGAACATATGTTGGTTACTACTGTATGTATCTGGTGGGAAGTAGACAACAGACCTACCATGCCAGTAGGAAATAAAAAGAACAAGGCATTTACAAAGCTGGCTAGTTAGAGTGGCTGCTTGCTCTGCTGTTGGCTCATTTGTTTATCTTGGCATTCTTCTGTTCTTTGGTTTACTCTTGAAGGTTGGTAACTGGTCTATCATCAAACTGCAAGATTTTTTTTTTTTAAGATTTTATTTATTTATTTGAGAGAGAGAGAGAGCGTGAGAGAGAGCACAAGTAGGGGGAGGGGCAGAGGCAGAGGGAGAAGCAGGGTCTCCACTGAACAGGGAGCCCAATGTGGGGTTCAATCCCAGGACCCTGGGATCTGATCTGAGCCAAAGGCAGCCGCTTAACTGAGCCAGCCAGGTGTCCCCAAACTGCCAAGATTAAGTCAAAAGCTGGGATATAAGAGACCATAATGTTACTGAATGTACAGATGGAAAGACAAGGAATTTTTTTTTTTTAAAGATTTTATTTATTTATTCATGACAGACAGAGAGAGAGAGAGAGAGAGAGGCAGAGGGAGAAGCAGGCTCCCAAGGAGCAGGGAGCCCAATGCGGGACTCGATCCCGGGACCCTGGGATCATGACCTGAGCCGAAGGCAGACGCTCAACCATCTGAGCCACCCAGGCGCCCAGAATGTTTGTTTTTAAAGTTCTGATTTATTAGTTCATTCATTCAAAAATATTAGGCAATTATGTGCCAGGCACTGTGTATTTGTGAGCCAATTGAGAAATGATCTCAACTCTCTGGCAATTTATTAGGCTAAAAGAAGAAAAAGAAAGTTTTAAAGTGTCATAAAAAAAAGTTTACATTTACTGTCTTAATGAAAGATGTTACTTGAAAAAAAAGTAAAAAAATAAAATGCCATCAATACATGTTAAGATAGCAACTGTATTGCTATTTAATTGCTAAGTTAACAGTAATGGAACCAACAGATAATATAACTAGAATTTAACTGAGGGGAAAGCTCTCTCCAGGAAATTATATCAGAAGGACAAGTAGGAGTTAACTAGTTAAATGAGAAAGGAAAAGCATTCTGGGTAGAGGAACATGTACAAAGGAAGGATCATGATTCAGGGGACTAAAAGGAGGCCAGTGTAGCTGGAGCAGAGAGACAGCAAGGAGGAGTATGAAGCTGAGGGCTTCCAGACAATGTTAAATATTTTGGTCTTTATCCTCAGAGCAATGCTTTAAACAAAGAGGAGACAAGAGCAGATAGATGGATCAAAGGCAGACCAATTAGAGGATCCTGCACTGCTGAAAATTGGGGATGAAGGCAGCATAGATTAGACTGGAAGTGTAGACCAGGGATTTGAGAGAGATTTTAAAAGAGTATCAACAAGATTTAGGGATAGATTTGAAAGTGGGATTAAAGGAAAAGAGTATAAAAATGATTCTCAGGTTTTCGGCTAGATTAAATAGGAAGGATTATGGTGCCATTCACTGAAACAGGAAACACCAAGTTTTTGAAGGCCAGGTTTGGGAGGGGTATAAGGTATAAGGGGTATAAGGCTTCAGAAATGTTGAGTGTGAGGTGCCTCGGAGACATCGAGGTAGGCAGGTAGCTGGATGTAATGGCCTGGCTGAACACATACATCTTGTGCAGCATTCCCTTCCGATGGTAACTGAGGTTCTGGTCTAGATGAGTAAAGCATGAACACCCCAGGTCTAAACAAAAGTGAATGGCTGGGTAGCTTCCCAAACTAGCATAGACTTGTAATCATAAAAAAAATTAACAATGATCTTTATAATTTATAGTCCTGTGGAAAAAAAGTCAGTTCTCCCACCTCCATCAAAACACTGGTTTTTATAATTTAGAAGTTCCTTAGGTAGAACTCTCTCTTAATAGTAAAGCATACCTTTGTGATAGAGATACATCTTTATAAATTTGACTTTAATGAATCAAAGACAAAACCAGAACTAGTTTTATACTTTGTGCAGGGATTTGTTTCATCTTCTTATGTTAACTTTGACCCAAGCTCTTCACTTTTCATGAACAGATCAAAATGTTTATCTTTGTATGTCTAAGTCAGTTATATGTGATTTTTTTTATCATCTAGCACCCTGCCAACTAGCTGTATGTGAAAAGCAAGTACAAATTTATATCTCCATCTGAAGGTATGCTGTATATTATTAGCTCTTACACATACACAAGAAAAGATATAACTCATTACATTTTTATTTTATATTTTAAAGGGAAAAACCTTTGGAAATAGCTTCTGCTTAGCAAGCCTGGCTGAAAATATGGATTCAACTGATCTAAAATTATGGCTACGGGTTAGGTCAAATGAAATACTGCAATTGTCAAGTTAGTGTAAACATACACTAGCAAATATATGAGCCTCTTCTAGAAAGTTTACGGCCATGTAATTGAAAAATATCTACGCACGATCAATCTTAAAAAAAGGGTTACTATTATTTATTTAGGTTGTCTTAATTGAAACCAAATTTAGATGTTCATTAATAAAGGTGTAAACATCAAAGTTAACACATTAAAAAAATGAACTGAAACAGAGCCATCTCCCCATTCCACTTATGCAGATTTACTGTTACCTGGATGGTATTTCCAATAGGAGCCCCTGGGGCGCCTTCAATATTGGGCTTGGAGAAAGATGGTGGCATGCCTGGTTGACCGAGGGGTTGTTGTATGCCATGGAAGGTCTGGCCACCTGCAAGATGTGGCTGTGGAAATGAAGCTTGGCTTGACAGAGGTACGGGAGCTGAAGGCTGTTGCAGCAGCATCTGTGACTGGGGGTCACCCAAAGGGTTCATGATTGGTGATGTGATGGGAACAGGAGGCATAAAGTTTTCAGGCATCTTTTAAAAGACAGAAATAAAAGACACCAAGCATAAGAAAAAGAGTATCATTTACTCACCTTTAAATAAGGTTAACATTTAAAAAAATAGAATACTTTTTTCAAATGAAATTTTATGCAGAATTCTAGAGTAAAACATAAAAGTAGAGCTAATTTGGCTAAGAGGGATAGAGAGCTCAAAACTGGACCTCTCAGTTTCCCCTTTGTTTTCCATACTTCCTCTCATATGGGGAGCCAAAACATGGTGTTTTGAAAGAGGATGTTAAAGTCTAGAGGATTGGGGCGCCTGGGTGGCTCAGTTGGTTAAGCGACTGCCTTCGGCTCAGGTCATGATCCTGGAGTCCCTGGATCGAGTCCCGCATCGGGCTCCCTGCTCAGCAAGGAACCTGCTTCTCCCTCTGACCCTCCCCCCTCTCATGTGCTCTCTCTCTCTCGTTCTCTCTGTCTCAAATAAATAAATAAATAAATAATCTTAAAAAAAAAAAAAGTCTAGAGGATTATATCTAGCCATAGTGGAATCAGATATGCCAAATGTGTGTTTGTATTTAATGTGATCACGATGTAATACTCCTCTTCCTAGATTACTAAGTGGATATTACCTGTCAATTCAATCATATTAAAAGTAGTGGATTAAATTTCTAATTATTACTAACGTAAATTTTGGGGTTTTTTGAACATTTAGTGCTCCCAATTTTATTGTTATGACCTCTCATTACTATACTTAAGGAAAGAAAATCACCAGAAGTTAAAAAAAAAAAAGTAGAAATGTTTGGGAAGGAAGAAGGAGAGAAGAATCTTATCTTGTGTTCCAACAGCTCTCAACAGTTACTGACAGTTAAACAGTGCTCAGCTATAAGGTTATTTCTTCATTCACACTATATGTGATAGATAAAATAGTCCAAAATATAATTACCAAATTCATGACTACTGTTGGAAACAAAAGATCAAAGTAACCCCAAAAAGAAAAAAATCATTGAAAAATTTTGTTTCCTGCTCTTTGAAAGAGACCTGTTGGGAATTCACATCTTGTCTTCTAATGGGAATTAAATTCACACCACCATATTGTTGTGTTTTTGTTTTTTTTTTAAACTTTCTTTCCTTCCCTTCATGGAATAGAAGATATAAGCTGAAATACACTTTAAACCTATCAGTCAGTAAGCTTTGCTTTTAAAAGGATCAGTGAAGGATGGTGTGTTCCAGGTGGCTTTGTGATTAGCAGAACATCTGCAGGCAACTGGATGGACATCTTTTTCTAGTACCTTCTTCTTAGGTACTCTGTTCAAAGCTGGAGGATCATTCCATCCATTCTGAGGACCTATAACAGATAATAAAGGGCATTTTCCTTTAGAATTCTGAAAAGAAGAAAACTCAATTGTATCCATCTTATAATACCTTCAAATTCTGCCTTAACCCCGAGGATAACTCACAAAAGTTTTACCAGCTGAGCTTTGGGGATCACTCTGAAGCCCTGGATTCTCAAACTCATTCCCTCAAACATTCACAAGGCCTTGGCTTACCAGGGAAGATAACTTGATATTATTTCCATTTAAAGTGAAAGAGCTATACTAAATTTAGGGATAGTGAAGTCTTTATGTCTATATAGATGTATAACCTTCAAAGATCAGTTAGAAATTCTCTCTTAATAAAGAAAAAATAAATCACCTCAGTCTGCTAAAAAATAAAAAAATAAAAAATAAAAAAACCTACTTTTGCTATATTCAGCATACAGAAAAGAATAAAAGTGACAATCTCCTATTTCCCAAGAGAGCAACATAAGCAATTCAACATAAGCAAAATCATCCATATGGCAGAAACACTGTTAAAAAAAGGTCTCAACTACACAATACTGCAATTTCATCATCTTTGCCTTAGGAATTATTTATAAAGTAGAAAGCACTTAAGTATCTGTGATAAGATTTTTTTAATGCCACAAAAAAAAAAATTTCAGGTTGGCAGCAAACAGAAAATTAAATTACTGTCAACTTTAGTAAATTTCCCCTAAAAACCCCCCAAAACCCTTCATCTCAAAGTGAAAAACAGACATCAGTAGCAGAATTCATTAAGTACTTGAATGCCAGTATCTTTAAGAAAACATGCCAGAAATAAAGACAGGATAATTTTAAAATCAAAATGTAATCATTTTATATTTCATTCATTTTTGTGTATGTTTATAGTTAAAGCAAAAAAATTACTCCTCTTTCAACAAATTAGACATTCCTTCAGATTTTACCTTTTACTTGTTTTATTGATATCCATGACATTAAATCACAACAAAATTGCTTAGCAGACCATGATGTATGTGATCCATACAAAATGCCACAGAAATTTTTTAAAAAACTAAATCTTCCAACCAGCACGTACTCATTTGCCTTGATTTTTTTTAAGTTTACTTACTTAATTTTTTTTAGTAATCTCTATATCCAACATGTGGCTCAAACTCACGACCCTGAGAGCAAGAGTCATGTGTCCTTCTGAGCCAGCCAGGTATCCTTCATTTGCCTTGATTTTTAATTTTCTACAGGTTTACTAAGAATCAATGCCAAATGAGCCTCAAAACACTCAAGAGCTAATCACAAAATATTAAGCTACATGCTGCTATCTGTTTAACAAATTCTCAAAGTTCTGATCATACATAGAGAATCATTCAAATCTCTCTCATCACCTTCTAATCTTACTCCTAAGACAATCTTGATATAGTCATTGTCTTTATGATTATGTAAAATAGACAACTTTAATGATTTAAAGCTACTGTGTCACCATGTTAATTCAATCAGTTCTAAGATTTGATTTGATTAAGAAGTCAAATTAAAAAATGATACTGATCAGATTTAGAATATCATCAACTTTGAGGTTCACATGCATTATTGTGAATGGTCATTCATTAACTATATTCAATGATTGAAAAATTTCCAAAGATATATTTTATAACCAATTCACCTTCCAACATAGGTGCCTGGTCTTGCATAGATTGATTTTCTGTAGACAAAATGTAAAAGTCACTTAAACAGCATATAGCATGAAAAACATTCTAAACTCTATTTCTCATTTTGTAATTGCTTCTTCTCCCTCCATCAACCCAAAAAGGAACAAACTAATTTTATAAGGGAAAAAAAAAACTTCCTTTTAATCAAGTCATGTGAAATGTCTTCTATCTAATTAAGAAAATAATCAGTTTTGGGGGTAAATCAAATTCATTTAGGTTGTGTCAGATCCAATTAACTCTTAAACATCACTTTCTTCTCTTACTGTGCTGTTTCTTCTAAGAAAAAATTTTGTTCCTGCCTATTTAAAATAATATTTCCCTGTTTGCATGGATTTTTTTTTCCTACTATTTGATCAATAACATCACTGGTGGGGGGAGCATTTAGTACTAGTTAAAGCTGTCAACCAAAATCAGCTGAGGATCTTGTTAAAATGCATATTCTAATTCACTGTGTATAGGGTAGGGCCTGAGATTCTATTGGTCCAGCTAGCCCCCAAGTAATGCCAATGCTGCTTGCTGGTCAAAGCCCTCTTTTAGTAGGGATTTAAAGAAAAATGGGAGGCCTTCTACACTGTCCTGTAGACTTCAGTGCTGTACTTGTTAAAGATAAGAATGTCAGACAATCTTAGCAACGTGGTGCCACTTTACTGCCAGATTTGGGACGCTGCATCCTGATGAAACTGTAATTTCATGTAATTCATGTCACACCATGAATATAAGCATAAATGACAACAGGCCCAGTAAATAAGGAACCATCTTATATGGTCTTTTCTGTAAAAATATATGGATTTGCAGACTGTTTAGCACAAGCCTTCCAGAAACCACTACTTAAGAGAACGGAAGTTTCTGGCAGTGGACAAGAGGAAAAAAGGCTGAAAACTAACACAGCAATGCCAAAATGATCAGATATTCAGGGTCAGGCCAGGCCCAGCCTCAAATCAAAAGTATGCAGTGGAGGTATATTATATGCACATGTAACTTATAGAACAAGCCAACTTCTTCATCAAGGGCTTAACTAAAGAAAGAAATGATCAAGGATTTCCTATTTTTTATAAGTGATTTCCTATTTTTGCCTTACACGACGATTTTACAACCTAATTCCCCATGCAAGATACAACCTCATAGCACTACTGTCAGTAAAGCCTTGGGAGTCACTGTGTGTGCGTTATTACAGAGGACTGACGTGATGCACAACTACTAATGTACTCTCTAGCATAAGACTTCCACTTCTGGGTGGAGGGAGCCCGTATATTACAAACCTAAAGTACCAGAAATACCTTGGCCTTGACCCTTTTCTTCAGAACATAGTTTCAACAACATGCCTCCTCTCCTGACCCAGGAGAGGCAGGAGAAGAGCAGTCTCCCCTCTAACTTCTCATGGCAGTGACTCAAGCCCTGGGAATTGAAGCCTGGGAGGGTATCCTGAGATTTCACAATTAGCACACTATTAGCACAAAAACGTTTCTGGAGCAACTTCACAGGACCCTTTGGTAAAATGACTCTAAATTTATAATGAAATCAAATCAAATTCAAAACTAGGAATGACACTTCATCAAAATCAGAAACAAAAAGACTCGCAACAGGAATGGATAGCCAATGGGCTAGCTCACATAATTCAAGGGTACAGATGTCTTGTTGAGTAGAAAGTAACAGTTGTACAATAATCAAAGTTCTCCCTCAAAATATATGTCTGACTCCTCCCAACCTCAAACCATGTAATATATTTAGCCCAGATAATCCTTGTTCAAATCTCTTATCAATTTAGTGCAGTTTTGTCTCAGCTATAACTCTAACCCTTTTCAATCTTATCTTTTATGTCTTTAAACTGACTGTTTAAATATGACTTTTTAAAAACACAATTAAATTGACCTCTATAAATACACTTTAATAGCCACATTAGGTAAAGCAAGCTACATGAACAACAAGAATATCTCTAAAAAACAGTATTATAGATGTGCAAAATGATACTCTTGGTCAGCATTTTAAAAAATCAACACCGCATAGTCATTTAGAAAAATCAATACAGCATAGTCTAATCTTGGACATAATTCTCTCATAAAACTGTAAAGAAAGATAATCTTTTTTACTCTTTCAAAAAAACTATAAAATGATGATAAATCTTACTTTTTTAGAACATGACATGGACTCTAAAGGGCATGAAAAAAATGGTTCATGGTGTAATGTTAGGAAAACCTGTAAGAGGAGTGCCTGGGCGACTCAGTTGGTTAAACGTGAGACTCTTGATTTTGGCTCAGGCCATGATCTCAGGGTGGTGAGATGGAGCCCCACAATGAAACCCACGCTGGGCATGGAGTCTGCTTAAGATTCTCTCTCTCCCCCTCCCCACCCCGGCTTGTGCTCTCTTACACTCTCCCTCTCTCTCAAAAAAACCCCAACAACTGTAAGATGTAAAATGGTATGTGTGTGTATTATGATCTCAATTCTTGAAAAATACAAGCACACAATGAGATACTACTTCTTACCCATTAGAATGGCTAGAATTAAAAAAACAGAAAACAGTAAATGTTGGTGTAGATGTGGAAAACAGTATGATGGTTCCTCAAAAAATTAAATACTGAATTAAGTATTGAATTCGATCCAGCAATTCCATTTCTGGGTATATACCCAAAAGAACTGAAAGCAAAGCCTTTAACAGATATTTGTATACCCATGTTCAAGAAGCATTATTTACAATAGCTAAAATGCCCATGTGCAGATGAACGGATAAACAAAATGTGGTATATACATACAGTGAAATATTATTCAGCTTTAAAGAGGAAAGTTCTGATACATGCTACAACATGGATGAATCTTGGAGAGAGTGAAATAAGCCAGTCACAAAAGAACAAATACTGTGATTCTACTTATATGAGATACCTAGAGTAGTCAAATTCACAGACAGAGAGTAGAACAGTGGTTACCAGGGGATGGAGGAAATAGGCAGTTATTTAATGGTTACATAGTTTCAGTGTGGGATGACAAAAAAGTTCTGGAGACAGTGGTGATGGTTTTTCAGCAATGTAAATGTACTTAATGTCACTGAACTATATACTTAAAAATGGTTAAAATGGTAAATTTTATGTCAGTATATTTTACCACATTAAAAAAAACATATATATATTTTAAAGATTTTATTTATTTACTTGACAGAGAGAGACACAGCGAGAGAGGGAACACAAGCAGGGGGAGTGGGAGAGGGAGAAGCAGGCCTCCTACTGAGCAGGGAGCCCGATGTGGGGCTTGATCCTAGGATTTTGGGATCATGACCTGAGCCGAAGGCAGATGCTTAATGACTAAGCCACCCAGGTGCCCCTAAAAATATTTTTAATATATGCATACAGACATACATATAGGTATGTATATATGTGTATGAAGGAAATAAATTAAGCCTGTATTAGTGCTTATATTTGAGTGGTAGAATTATAGAAAATCTAAATTTTATTCTTTATACTATTTGGAGTCTTTAAAAATCCTACAGTGAAAAATTAATAAAAATCAAGGAAAAAATAATTTAAAAACTGAATATGGCATGGAATTGGAGGCCCTTATCTACCTTAGTGTAGGGATCAGTTCTCCACAATGTCTTTGGGGAAGGAAGACGGAACTACTTGGTCTCACATATAGGAGTTGCAAACCATCTTTACTTGAAACCCACTTCTCAATGAGAACCTTCGTAGGTATTCTTGCAAAAGCATAATGTGGGATCTGTATTTTGGCTAAGATACTTCTCAGTGGATTCATGGAAAAATATTAGTGGTATGGAGACTTGGCTAGAAGACAATTTGAGACAGAGATAACAGAGCATCCTTCTTAACCACGTACCTCCCCTTTCCCCTATAAGCCTAGCATGTCACATTAAAAGTAAAAGGGTTGGGGTGCCTGGGTGCACAGCCAGTTAGTTAAGTGTCAGACTTTGGTTCTGGCTCAGGTCATGATCTCACAGTGGTCATGGGATTGAGCCCCCCAACAGGCTCCATGCTCAGTGCGGAGTCTGCTTCAGATTCTTTCTCCTTCCCCCTCTTCCCCTCCCTGCTCACATGCTCTCTCTCTCTCTCAAAGAAATAAATAAAATCTTTAAAAAACAAAAGGGTCACGGAATTAAAAATTAAAGTTTAGAAAGACATGAATCCTTGAGGTCATTTTCCAATGACACAAGATAAAACAGAATTATCCAAAGAAAAGTAATAAGGGAGGTTATCTTGTTTTCTTTCATTTGCTTAAAAGGTTAAGCCAGATACTTATAATAATTTGAGTAAGGAATATTTATGAAAATTAAAAAAAATCTTTTTCAGGACAGTTTTGTGAAAATATGTAACATTATGCCCCTTCAAGACTATTTTATGTGACAAAGCACAAGACTATATACCTAAATTAAATCTTCCATGTTTAACAAAATCAATAACGTTCACTCAAAGACAGTTTCATGACAGCGTGAAGGTCACTTTATCAGAAAACAATTTTTTGAGTAAAATTCTAAGGCCTTCATATTTGACAGTGCCCTTCTTTAGTAATAACATACATTAAATCAGGAGGGAGAAAAAAGTGACAGGCAGTATCCTAATTATCCTAAAGAGTAAAACAGAGAAAACTTCCTGCTTGGTGTGTTGCCACCACTGAAAGGACACTGTCCTCTCCTAACTCAGGCTGTTGTTACTTTATATCTAGAACTGAGAGGACTGTTTTCTGACTCTGCCATGCTGTCCACAGTCTATTTTGTAGGACCACCACTTCCACATTAACCTCCCTCAAGTACCACTTTGACCACGCCTTTCAGCAGTTCAAACCCCTTTGTAAGCACCTTTCTTCTTACTGTATGAATTATAAACTTCTTGCCCTGGCATTTAAGGCTTTCCAAAACTTGGCTCAAATATAAATTTTATGTTCCAACTTATAACAAAGCTATGTGCTGTTCACTAGAAACGTACTGTCCTTTTCTGCCTCCCTACCACTGCTGGGACTAATTCTGATGATAGACCAAACAAGTACTCATTAAGAATTTACTGAATGAATGTTCTGATGATTACAACATTAGTTTCTCTGAGCCTCAGGCATATAATTTTGTGGTTCACTAACAGTTAACAGGCCTTGCAAATCCTAATGTCTGTTAAGAATTATCCACTAGAGGGGCGCCTGGGTGGCTCAGTTGGTTAAGTGACTGCCTTCAGCTCAGGTCACGATCCTGGAGTCCCTGGATCGAGTCCCACATCGGGTTCCCTGCTTGGCGGGGAGTCTGCTTCTCCCTCTGACCCTCCCCCCTCTCATGTGCTTTCTCTCTCTCAAATAAATAAATAAAATTAAAAAAAAAAAATTATCCACTAGACAAATGCGATTTCCAAGTCCTATAGAGAACCATTATATGATCTAAGACACATAAGGAAAAAGATAAAATTTTCAGTCACAATTATTTGTATACCATACATAAAATTTTTAGAAAATAAAAAAATAAAATATGGTAAAGCTAACACCATTAATTAAAATACAGGGGGCTATTAACATGCAAGAGGGTAACAAAGCAGCTGGCTCAGTACATGCTGAGTACCGAAAAATTTCTGCTGCTTCTTCCTATTAGTCACTGTTTCTCAGCCAGGTTAGAACATTCTGTTACTTTGTATATAAGCAAAGACTATCTCAAGACCATATACACTTTTGCTTAAGGAGAAGAAAAATACCCATGCAAATATTTAACTTAGATGATGAAGTAACAAATGCCTAAAACAGTGTTGTTGTATGATTTTTGTAATTCCAACACTGATAACTTTACGTCAGGACTAGACCATTTGGTAAAGAATGAACTCAGGCTCTGAAGACTGAGGGACCTGGGTTTGTATCTCAACTTACAAATTCTCACCATGCAACCATGAGTTTAACTCCTAGGAAACCAAGTTTCCTCAGGCCAATTAAAAAAATATATATATTTCTGTTTCTCATGGCTCTGAGAATTAAATAAGAAAATATATGGCAAATGAGGGTATATGTCCAATGTATGTTCAATAAATGATAATTCACCTCCCTATTTCCCTGCACCACTTTTAAACAGGGATTTTCTGGAACCCTAATCTTTCGATCAAGAACTCTTAGACCAGAATGGACACTATCTTCACTCACTGAGGTTTTAGAAGGTAATTTTTTGAACTCTGTAACTGCATTTCAGCACTCTTCTCTAAAATATCAACCTACTTAACTGTTTATATTAAAAGTTACAGAAATTTTGTTTGTGCAGTAAACGGTGATACAGATATTGTGTGTGTGTGTGTGATTTCTGGTATTTTGGACTTTATTTTATGTATTAGAGAAGAGAGGAGATAGGTATATAATTCTGGATCCATAAAACTTTGTTAGAAAAGAATACTTCCTCAATAGATCCTATTTCATGAAAAGTATTTTCAGTAATTACAGCTACTGCTTAAAAGAAAAAATATATATGCTGGACTCTGCAGGAACAACTTCAGTATTAGGAGCAAGGCAAGATTCATTCATCTCTTTGCCCCTCTAGTTCAAAAACCAGTTATAATCTAAAAGGGAAACTATTTTCAAATACCAACAGGCACAGAGCGCTAATACTGAGTCAGCTTTTGTGTAATCAAAGCAAATTTTACAGTCACTATCCCCAAATGTTTTTTTTTTTTTTAAAGATTTTTATTTATTTATTTATTTGAGAGAGAGAGAATGAGAGACAGAGAGCATGAGAGGGAGGAGGGTCAGAGGGAGAAGCAGACTCCCTGCTGAGCAGGGAGCCCGACGCGGGGCTCGATCCCGGGACTCCAGGATCATGACCTGAGCTGAAAGCAGCCGCTTAACCAACTGAGCCACCCAGGTGCCCCACCCCCAAATGTTTTAAGAATATATTAATGCATTCAATCTTCTTCATAAGCTTATAAGTAGGTACTATTATTATTCTGAGGAAATAGGCTTGAACAAGTTTAAAGAACTTTTCCAAGTTACGTAACTAGATAGTAGTGAAGCTGGGACATAAACCCAGGAAGTCAAATTTCAAAGCCTACATTCTTAACCAATATGGTTAATGGTTTTTAACCCTGAGTCATCGGTCCCTTTTTATAACATGATTTTGAGCCTCTATTACTATCCCAAATAAAAATCAGATAATATAGCCTACCCATAAAAAATTAATGTAATGTTCTAATTGTAATGAGATAAACCAGAATTTATAAAACATGTATTTCATCATAAAAATAATTTAAAATTATGATTTTAATTAGAAAATTTTAGGCACAACTACACTATTAGACTATCTACCTATCTATCTATCTATCTAATCCTTGAAATTCCCAAAATGTCTGAGGCTGGTATTGCCCTAATGAAGAATCGCTACACTATTGTCCACTGACTTTCTATTGTCTTAGAGATCCTCTCTGTCAGAGTTGTGTTCTCTCACTTTTTTCCTTTAGATAAGCATATCGAGATCCCTCATTTTTATAAATAAACATAAAATTATGTAGAATCTCATTAAGACACTATACTGTTTAATCTCCATGAATGAGTTAAAGGCACAAATAATTTTAAAAATTGCAAACTTCTCAGTAAGAACAGAACAAAGTTTTGCTCTAAAGAAATGTCAATTAAATCTAGTTTCATCCACCACTTATCTTGCCAATTAATTTCTTATCACTTATTTTAAGTTCAGAGGCCGATGATACACTCTTAGCCTTTTTAAGTTCTGAAACTCTCCTCATTTAGTGACTAAAGTTCATTATGGGACAATCACACTTTCAGAAATAGTTTTAGAATTTGTTATAAAAACTCCATTGACACCTCAGATCACTCTGTTTACACAGAGTCAGACCTGATTGCCCTCCACCCACCCAGGTGTTCATGAAACAATAAAGGAGGGAGCCAAACCACACCCCTTTCAAGCGCAGACCTGTTCTTTGCGACGCAGGCAGCTCACTGGCAGCAGGCAGTGTACCTGTTGTTCCAGGAGGCAGCGCGTAAGCTAAAGACGATGGTGGAGCTCCTGGTCCGCCGTGCTGGAAGGATGCTCCGGAGGAAGGGGGAGGAGGGAAAGAAGCAGCAGAGCTGGAGGTAGGTGGAGAGGCCTGGTGCTGTGTTGCATACAGCTGAGACTGCCCAGAATAGGAAGAAGCAGGAGATATGTAAGGGGTGTTAGGGTAAGCGTTTGAAGCAGAAGGAGCAACAGGCTGCTGAGGTCGATACATTGTTGACCCCCCTGTTCCGAAGGAATACTGCTGGGCTGGTTGATAAGCTACACCAAGGAGAAGAAACAGAAATTTTAATTAGTTGTAAGTTTATTCAGACAGCAATAAGAAAAACCCAAAGTTATTTCACTCTACGGAAATTATTTTCATCATTATTCTTATAACAATAAGCTACAACCAAATATTAACACTTCCGTGTTATGCTTTTGATACCTTGGATACCCTTAAATAATACTAAGAGTCATTGGATCCAATATTTGAAATCTGCCATCTCCAGACTGCTGTTGGCTATGAAAATCTTTGAGGAACGCCTGGGTGGCTCAGTCGGTTGAGCATCTGCCTTTGGCTCAGGTCATGATCTCAGGGTCTTGGGATGGAGCTCTGTATCGGGCACCCTGCTCAGCGGGGAGTCTGCTTCTCCCACTTACTCTGCCCCTCCCTCCCAACTTGTCCTTTCTCTCTCTCTCGCTCTCACTCTCAAGTAAGTAAATAAAATCTTAAAAAAAGAAATGTTTGAATCATCAGACCCAAGAACTACAAGACTGATACTTTCCTGCCCCTGGGAAAAGACTGCAGTGACACCTACTAGCTCCCAGATGGAACCACGCAGGAATTACATGTTCAAAGCACTTCCCCTTACAGTAAATTATAAGGACTCTGGTGGTGGCTCAATATCTCTCCCACTGTAAGAACTGTAGGGTGAACACTATTGTTATGAATCAAATACCTTCTCCAACATCTGGTAATATCATCAGCTACTCAAACTGTGATTTTGAGCATAGTTCCAGATTAAAAGCCAACTCTCTATGGTCCCTGCCAAAACAATTACTATACAATATTTTATATACTGTGCACAGTTGGTTAGTAAGCCTTCAGGCAGCCAACTAACATTCTAATGCAAAGATCTGAGCCCAAATTAGAGAATACTATCACATTCTTCATGACCAGGGCTAGGTATGGACTTCTATAGAATGAATCTACTAGAACTGTACTTATTTTACTCTGAAGAGAGCACGAGCGAAAAGTTGTGTCAAATCTGTATTCATGTTAAGTAAGAACATCCATTTTAGTACAGAACAGACTTATTAGGATTAGTTCTTACTAGGCAGTGGCCTCTTGCTTTTGTAATAGTTGTTTAGTCATACAATTTTCCCCTTGGAGATTTTTATTTTTTTGGTCAATTAAATTTTAAAATAGTGGTGATATTTTCTTTCAAAGTGCAAATGTTTTCTAAAAAACAAAAGCCAAAGGTGGGTACATGTCATTATTATATATCTGTCAAAATTCATAGAATGTTCAACACCAACAGTGTACCCTAAGTTAACTATGTGTCAGTGTAGGTTCATTAACTGTAACAAATGGACCACTGGGGTGCAGGCTGTTGATAGCAGAGGAGGTTGTGCATGGGGGCAGGGAGGATACTGGAACCTTCTGTACTCTTCACTCAAATGTGCTATCTAAAACTGCTCTAAAATAAAGTCTATTTCTTAAAAAGATGATATAAATGGAAAACAACAAAAACAAATGTCCCTAGGAACCATTTTTCCAAAAATGGTTAGTGTCATCTTGCTTAAAGGAAAAGAATATGCAACCAAATCCTTTCAAAAATTCTGTTTTTTGTTCCTACCCAAATCATCGGACAATTCACTGTCCTTCGTAATCGCTCAGGAACAGGAGCCAACTGCTCTGAATGGACTGACACAGGAGCTGTTTCCTCGCATGCTGATTCAGGATGCTTCCCAGGGAAACAATGTCTCTCTCTCTCAAGTCCTACACAGAATGGTTCTTTACTTGTTAAAACTGATTTGATCATGGGTTTGGAGCTCCAAAGTGAATGGTTTCGCCATTAGAATAAGACATGTGGCTGTACTAAGGACTTCAGGGTTGCACTACTTACGCTGTGGCTGTGGATAAGGTGGTACCTGGGTGTGCATATGACCCGGAGAGGTGGGAAGCTGAGCTGTGGCAGCATTTGGGTTAACATTTCCATGCATTATGAAACCTGGAGGTGGAGGATTTTCTCCCTAGGGAATGAGAATATGATAAAAAGGAGGATTACATTTGGAACCAAGAATCTTACCCAGATGGATTTATAATCTCTGAAATGGAATTGTGTTTATTTTTCTAAAAAAAAAAAAAAATTTATTGTGTAAGAAACCCTGCATTTTGCACATTCTATCTTCTTTAGAACACATTCTCTGAGCAACACATTCTAAGTGATTTAAAGATTAAACAGGTCCAAAGTAATAAATGCAATGAATGGCAACAGATGCTAATAACTTCATAAAATAGTGTCAGTGATATTCATACTAAGTCACCAGGATTTTCCATCTCTACTAATTTCATCCACTACTCCACACTTTGGAAATATAAGCATAAATGCCACAAGGGAACTTTCGCTTCTCTTCAATTTCTGCAATGCTCAAAAAACAAAGAAAAAAGAAAATCTTCAGTGAAATCAGATTTAAACCACTGTTAGAACTTTAGTTGATATTTTTCTAGCTGAGGTCAATTTAGAACTGCAAAAGAGGGGCACCTGGGTGGCTCAGTTGGTTAAGCGACTGCCTTCGGCTCAGGTCATGATCCTGGAGTCCCAGGATCAAGTCCCGCATCGGGCTCCCTGCTCGGCAGGGAGTCTGCTTCTCCCTCTGACCCTCTTCCCTCTCATGCTCTCTCTCATT